TAGTATAGGTTCGGTTCAGGTTGAACTGAGAAAAAAACCCTTCAACTCGTGAACCCAACCGAACTTTTGGTTCTACCAAAAACCCAACCCAACCTAACCCTTACGGTTTCGGTTCGGTTGTTCGGGTTGCTCGGGTCATTGGGTTTTTTGAACACCCCTAAAACCCATAGGCCGACAAAGTACATTTCGTCGAGCCTAAATCTTTCCGATGAAACTATTGTTTCGTTGGAAAACTATCCATATTTCGTCGAGCCCAAAAAATTTCCGATGAAACTAGGTGCAATAAGTTTTCAACCCTAATTTTTGTCCACTCCCTCTCTCCCACGACAAAACATATTTTCCTCCCTTGATTTTTTGCTGCGTACCCTCTCCCCCTTGATTTTTCAAGGATTTTTTTTAATATTATTATATATTAAACTTATTTTAAAAATATTGTTATTTAATTAAAAATATTCGAAATAGGGTAGTTTTTTAAACTTTTTTTAAAAATATTGTTGTTTTAAAAAACCAAAGGAGAGACGACCATCCTACGTGGTCGTCTCTTAGAGACGACCATGCAACGTGGTGCCACGTCGGGCGCCACGTTGCATGTTATTTAAATTTGACCAGTTTTGAACGTGGTCGTCTCTTCGACCACCTTAGATGGTCGTCTCTTCAAGAGACGACCACGTCTAGAGACCACCATCTACAAAACCCACCCCAAACCCTTTTTATAAAATGCCTACCCCACCACCAAACCCCACCACCATTATTTTATTCCCCCGCCGATTCCCTGCTCCGCCGTCGGCGTGCCACCTCCTCCGCTCTTCCGTTGCCGTCGCCTCCTCCAGTGAGCGGCTGCCTCTCCCTTTTTTTTCCGTTTTTTCTTTTTGTTTTGTTTGTTTGTTATTTTGTAATCTAATTTTATTTGTTTTTTTGTTTGTTTGGTGTTTTGTAATCTAATTTTATTTGTTTTTTTGTTTGTTTTGTTTGTTTATTGTTTTGTAATCTAATTTTATTTGTCCTTTGTTAGATTTGGGACCACTCTATTCCTTTCTTTTTGGAATTATAAAGGATAAAGGTACTTTTTCTTTTATTATTATTATTCAATTTTATTTATTTATTTGTATTTTGTGTTATATTTAATTTGTGAATGTATTTAATTTATTTGTTTAATACGTACATATATTTTTAATTCGTTTCTTTATTGGATGAATTTAGGCAATTATAAAATCATATATTTACTTTTAATTGTTGGTGAATGTATTTAATTGTTTTTAATTGTTAATTAATATATTATTTATTTGTTKAAATAATATATATTTATGTAATTAATTTATTTTATTGATTTGCTTTTTTATTTAATACATGTGCGTAATGTTTAATAAATTTAGGTTATTTATTTGATTGGTGTAGTTAAATTTAATTAGGACCTTAATTAAATATATCYTTTTCCAATTTAGGATTGAAATGGCAGCTAAATGTTTGGCGATTGTACTGTATATGAATGGAGGTACTGTTGATGGTGTAAATGAAATTGATTACGATGGACCRTCAAGTGGAGGTTTTACTKTCTACAGTGGTATTSAGTTTGAACATTTTGTTCAAATGGTTGRAGTGTCACTGAGGTTAGATATGGGGAGAAGTAAATTAGAACTTGTTTATAGACACCCTAATCAAACACCATCGGGTTCCATTAAATACATTYATATTCCATTARAGAACCAGAATGCAYTGGATTTAAYGTTSTCTATTGYACTGCCATGTCYRCAATTAGTGGAATTATATGTGAATGTTAGAAATATGACGAATGTCCCATTCGACCTCGACGGTGAACATGATATCCCTCTTGAATCATTGGATCTCGAGGGACCCAGCCAATRTCTTGAYCATAGTCAATGTCTTGATCCCGAACCTGAGTCAGTTGTACCTYCAACRACTAATTTAGATGAAGATATAGACTTAACTGCTGATAATAGGTTTATAGAA